TGAGAGCTGCTGGAAGCTAAAAGAGATCATCCAATATCTAATTGACAATAATAAGCTTCCCATACCTCTAAACGAAAAGAAGTCTGAGTGATGATAAAGCATAAGACACAAGGCGAGCTTCAACGACGAGATTTCGTGACCTCTCTTTATTTTTTTTCATTCTTCCTTTCCCCAATAAGTCTAGCATAGGCACCTTCTATTTTTCCTTAGATTTACTTTGTAGATTTTATCTTTTTCCCCTTTTAATAAAATGAGCATTTATTTCCTTGCATATGAACATTGCATTGCACCTAAAAAAAAGAAAAAAAATATCATTGTCAAACTAAGCACAAGGTATACCCATGATTTGAGGCACCTCTTTTAGCCATATCATATCTCCTTTAACCCTTTCAAAAATACAATCCTTTTTTAATAAACCACTTTGAGCCTCGTCTAACGATAGAATTTTCTTTCTTCAACCCACATCTACTTAACCTTGGGATAGGACAGTTTGCAACTTATGCGATTTAAAAAAAAAGGCATGAGTGATTTCAAAAGATCAAAATAAATAAAAAGAAAAAACAATAAAAGTGTAAAAAAGGGCAAGTGTTCCAATGTCTTTGATATGGAAATGTCTTTAATATGAACACGTCTCAGATTGCGTTTCTTATCGAGTGCTCGGTACCATGCCTGAGAAGTATGAATGCCAAGTGAATGATAGAACGCATGATCGGGATTGCCCATGTTGTTTTAAAGAATACTACAAGAAGGGGGGGTTGAATTGTAGTATGAGAATTTAGCCTAACTTTTTGGGGAATTAAAATTAAGTTAGCTAAAGGAACTGAAAGATTAACTAAAGGAACTAAAGAATGCAAGAGAGATTTTACGTGGAAAACTCCTTGGCCCTAACAAGGAGAAAAACCACGACCACTTGGGATTTTGGGAAAAGAATCTTCACTATAATAGAGAAAATGATCCTATTACAAGCTAACGACTCAAACTCAAGTTCCTCTACGAACTTGAGACCCTAAGGAACAAGTCACTTAACTTGTTACTCTTCTCTTCTCTTTCTCTCTTCTCACTTCTCTGTTCTCTATTCTCTTTCTCTTCTCTTTCTCACTTCTCTTTCTCATACACAAACGTTCACTTGAACTTCCCCATTCCCCAAATTACAACTCGAAAAATAAACAAACTATAGTATAAGAACATTAAGAACACTAATGAACTTGTGTGGAATTGACACTTGACTCGATTTGAAGCTTGAAAACTTATGTGAGCAAAGGTGAGTTTTTCCATCAGATTTCAAAGACTATTTATAGAGCAATAAACATATTGGAAAAACCTCTTTGTGCAGCAAATCCATCACGCCACTACTCATACCCACTAAGAAGATCATGTCCCTTGAATTAAGGAACCATGAACTCCTCAGTGTCCAAAACCATGACTGAAGAAGAACATGGGAGAGTAGGCCGCAAGTTTTGGGAAACATGGAGATTTTATTTTCAGAAGCTATTTTGTAAAATCAGAAATAAAAATAAAATCCTCTTTCTTGTTTAAAAAGATAATCGTTTAGAAAATAACAACTTCCCTAAAAATTAGCTAGCACAAAATTATCTTTTTAGACGAATACCACACAGTATTTCGAATGCAACTTAATATCTTATACTTACATAAATCCTAAAATATAAAATATATTTAGTCTTCATGTTCTCTAATGAAGCTTCTACTCCGAGGCTTCTTTTCCTTGAGAGGAACTTCTCTTCTCTGATGAAGCTTCTTCTCTGAAGCTTTCGTTCCCTGAGGGAACCTTCTCTTCACCAGTCTTCATTTCTGAAGCTCCAGTTCCTATGAAGGAACTCTTCTATATGGATAGCTCTGTTATCGCCTTCTTGTTCCTCATGGTATTCTTACAAGACACTTCATTCTCCTAGTCTTTGTAACTGAGTACACACTTAAACAATCAAGCTCTTATTAGTTTGTAAGTAATTGAGGTTGTGTCATCATCAAAGTCATTAAGTCCAACAATATTCCCCCTTTTTGATGATAAAAAACAAACCAAACTTACTTACAAGGAAACAGAGATAATCCATTTTATTCCTAAAGAAAGGAAATGCAAAAAAACAAAATACAATGCAGAATGGAAACTAATGTTAAGAAAATAAAAACAATGCATAAATAAATAACTGAAGGAAAAACTGAAAAACTTGAAAAAAACTTGTATATACATTATACCTGCTTGTAGAGATTAGGTAGCTTGTGAAGATTTCGAACAGAGTCTATAGAATGATTAAGTTTCCTTGATAGTTTGCATCCTTTTTCCCCTTTTGGCATTTATCAAAAACTAACATACAAGCATATAGTATACCATAACACAGCACCATCTAGTGGTTTAGTGTTAAGATAGGAAGCATGCATAGAGAAAACATTCACAAAGCATATAGGCAAAAGAAACATAGATTATAATCATCCAAAACCGATTTAAAACATCGGCCAAATGTACCAAATTTACAAGTTTACCAAAATAAATTTAAAAAGTGCCCATAATATTACAGACAAAATTAAAAATTGTTCCCAAAAGCAGATAAAATATAAGTTTCATCAACATAAAAAGGCTGCAGAGAAAGGTAGGTTATGAAGCAGTGCTCTGGTCATCATCAACAGTAAGATCCTCCAACTTCTTGGTGATTTGAGAAACTATGTCCTTGACAATGGACTATCTCCCCTGTTCCGAGCTTGTGACCAGTTCCTTCACATTAGCATCTAGTGTGAGTACACTCTTCTTCAGTTCCTCCATCTTAACCTTTGACTTCTCTTGTTCCTTCATCAATTGTTGGAGCATCTCCTTCATCTCCTTCACATCTTCGCTGGGAACCTTAGGTGGGGAACTGAATGCTGCAAACCCTGTACCTGCAGATGCATACTTGCCCAAAATAGGAGAGCTTGTGACTTTCTGCAAATCCTCTTGCACCCCTGTGATATCAATGCAAATGGGGGCAGAGGTCTCCTTTTTCTTCATCAACCTCAAGCTCTTCCTTTTCTTCCTTCCCCCTGTCTCAGTCACTTCCTCAACCACCTTTTCCTCTTCCTCCTCCTGAATGTCCTGCACCACTCCCTCTATTATCCTAGTAGCTCTCTCATCTTTCCCCTCAGCTATGGCACCTACTTCCTTTGGCCTTTTATCTTTTTCCTCCAGCACAACTTCAAAACATCCATCTACAACCTTCATCTTATGATTTTCTAGGCAAATAGGCTGCATGTACTCGGTGTTTTTGAGGGGCAGGGGTTCTTTATCAACAAAGGAAATGCCAAATCTTTCAAAGACATAGGTGAGAAGGTTACCATATCCCACCTTCCAACCTATTGGAACACAGTGGGAGAGGTATTGGACCATGATAGAGGGAAAGTTGATTTGGATCTTTTTGGCTAAGAAATAAATAAGAACAGAGTCAAGCTTGTTGGCACTGTCTCTCTTTTGGGTGCGAGGGATAATATCATCGAAAACAAACTTTAGCAGAATTTTGTAAAGAGGGGTTAGGTCATTGTGATTTATGTAGGTTTCCTCCGGGTCCCCACCTAGAAACTCCACTATCTCATCAGTATTTGCGTTAGGAAGAGGGTTCCTTATCACATTACTTTTAAAATATAAATCATATCCAGTATTAGGAACATCAAACAACTCAGCCAAGTACATCACATCAAACTCAATTTCTTTTTCATACACACAGCAACGAATAACACCTTTAGAGTATTTGAAACTTTTGCAAAAATCCCTCATAGCATCAACATAAATACTCCGATTAAAGCATTCACTCAACAAATTCACCCAATTTTGAGCCTCAACTAAATCAAGCAGTTCATACAACTTAACAGACTTACATCAAGGAAGATTAATAGCCAAACCTGTCACAAAGTGATCACTAATCTTCTCTTGCCTTTTCATAGCTGTTGGCTTGTCCCGGTAATTGACTCCTAGTTCCGGAGCACTCTCTTCTTCATCTTGCATGTCGTCGGACTTCCTTTTTCGAGAAGACTGGGATTCGGTAGTTGAATCCACTTTTGGAGGCTCTTGATCTTCAATGGGATCAATTTCCGGTGGGATTTCCATGGTAATGTCTGGAATTGGGTTTGTGTTTAAGTCGGCTTCAATTTGGGTTTTTGGAGAGGTAGACATTGGAGGGTAATTTTGATCGGAGTGATGAGAGAGAAGGTAATTTTTGTGTGGTGTAAATTTTTGTGAGGCTGACATCTTTTATGGTGGAGGTAAATTGGTGAAGTGAGGTGTCGTTTGGGAGGTGAAGTGAATTTAGTTGATTTGACACTCTTATTTATTGCTTAGGGAAACGCAAACCGTGTTTTTATGAGAGTATTGCACTTGGGCTACTTTTGAACAAAGGATAATGATGAATATTAGATGTATTCATCTGAATTTTGTGTTTAGATAAAAAAAATTGGAATTTTTAGAATTAGATAAACACAAATACTTTATCTCTTGAATTTTATCAATAAAGAACGCATGCAAATACAACTTGATATATGGAACAAATCAACAAGGCTCATGCAACCAATTTTAGACTTTTCATATTCTATGACTTTCAAATTTACATGCCCTTAGTAAATATTACTCCTGCTCACAACCTGTCTTAACTATGTAGTTAAACATATAAAACTTGTGCACAATATACAACAGATTAAGCAAGTCAGTTAGAGCTTCATACCTGAGAAAACGTGATGTATTTTTCTCAGTATAACTTAATCATCCCAATTTCCATTCTCATCTTCTCATGCCTTTCTCTATTCAAGGGTTTTGTTAAAATATCTGCAATTTGATTGTCAGTGTGGCATAAATCTAATTTAATTAAACCCTTTTCAACATTATCCATAAGGAAATGATGCCTTATATCAATATGCTTAACTCTTGAATGATGGACTGGATCTTTAGATATGCAAATTGCACTAGTGTTATCACAGTAGATAGTAATGCAATTAAATTTAATGCCAAAGTCTCGCAACTGTTGTTTAATCTAGAGGACTTGAGAGAAACAAGCAGCTGCTGCTACATACTCAGCCTCTGCAGTAGATAATGCAACAGTATTCTGTTTCTTGGTACCCCAAGAAACTAGACAATAGCCAAGGAACTGAACCATACTTGAGGTGCTTTTCCTATTGACTAGGTCACCGGCATAGTCAGCATCTGTGAATCTTCTAAGCATAAAGTCATCACTTCTAGGATAGAACAGACACATGTCATCTGTTCCTTTGAGGTATATCAGAATTCTCTTAACAACCGTTAAATGTGATTCTTTAGGATTAGACTGAAATCTAGCACACAATCCAATACTAAAAGCAATGTCAGGCCTACTGGCTGTTAGATATAGCAATGAACCAATCATACCTCTGTAAGTGGTTTGATCCACACTTTTTCCTTGTGGATCTTCATCAAGTCTTGTTGCTGTTCCCATAGGTGTGTGATTTGTCTTGGTGTTCTCCCTGTTGTACTTTTTAAGAAGTTCCTTGAAATACTTTTGTTGGTGAATCATTATTCCTTCAGCTATTTGCTTTATTTGAAGTCCAAGGAAGAAATTTAATTCACCCATGATGCTCATCTCAAATTCACCACCCATCAGCTCAGTAAAGTACTTGCATAAACCATTGTTAGTAGCACCAAATATAATATCATCTACATAGATCTGTACAACTAACAAACCAGTTCCTCGATATTTAAGGAAAAGAGTTTTGTCTTACTTTTCCTCTTTTGAAATCATTTTTCAGTAGGAACTTTGAAAAGCCTTTCATACCAGGCTCTTGGTGCTTGTTTAAGCCCATAGAGAGCTTTATCAAGCTTATAAACATGATTTGGAAAATTTAGGATTTTTGAAACCCGGAGGTTGTTCAACAAACACCTCCACATTTAAGAAACAATTAAGAAAAAGCACATTTCACATCCATTTGATAGAGTTTGAAACCCATAAAAGAAGCAAAAGCTACTAGGATTCTAATAGCTTCTAATCTAGCTACAAGAGCAAAGGTTTCTTCGAAATCAATACCTTCCTGTTGTTTGTAGCCTTTCACAACCAATATAGCCTTGTTCCTTAATATGGTGCCATGTTAATCAAGCTTGTTCCTGAACACCCATTTGAGCCCGATAACTTTCTTTCCCTTAGGATTTGGCTCAAGGTGCCAGACTTTGTTCCTTTCGAACTCATTGAGTTCCTCTTGCATGACAACTATCCAATCAGCATCTCTTAAGGCTTCTTGATGATTTCTTGGCTCTAGGATGGACAGAAAAGTATGGAATGCACAGTAGTTCCTCATTTGTGATATTGTTTGAGTTCCTTTTCCTATATCACTGATAATGAGATCAGTTGGATGGGAACCTTGATACTTGAATGGCCTGGGTTGAAATTCCCTATCTGGAACTCCAATTTGAGGAGCTTCTGTTTCTGTTCCTCCTACTTCTTCTACTTGTTCCTCATTTACCTGTTCGTCGGGTTGAGGAACTTCTCCATTTTCTTGATGATTCTCTTCTGGAGAAGGCTGCTTTTCCTTAGTTTGCTTTTGATTCTCTTCTTCATCCCTGTCTCTTATCAATCCAATTTCAAAATCATTATCATCTTCTTGTTCCTGTACACTCACAAACTGGTTAACCTCATCAAAGATTATATGAATGCTTTCCTTAACACACATTGAGCTTTTATTGTAAACTCTATAAGCTTTGCTATCAGAGGCATATCCTATAAATATAGCCTCTTCACTTCTTTCATCACATTTCCCTAGGTTTTTCTTACCATTATTATGTACAAAGCACTTACAACTAAAGGCTCTAAGATGAAGGGAGTCTTGTTGAGGATACTTCTGATTGTCACCCTGTTGAGGGTTGTAACATGTTGTATTCACGGCTTCAGCCCAGAAGTTCCTTGGAAATCCACTTGGAATCAGCATCGTTCTAGCCATTTCCTCAAGGGTTCAATTCTTCCTTTCTACAACTCCATTCTGTTGGGGAGTCCTTGGAGCTGAGAAGTTATGATTCATGCCATTTTCCCTGCAAAACACATCGAATCTTTAGTTCTCAAATTCAGTTCCGTGATCTGATCTGAGATGGACTATGGAGTGACCACTGTTTTTCTGTATTTTCTTGGCAAAAGCAACAAACTCATTAAAAGTTTCATCTTTACTAGCAGGAAAAATAACCCAAGTGAATATAGAATAATCATCAACAATAACCAACACATACTTCTTGCCACTCCTGCTATGAATTCTCATGGGACCACACAAATCCATATGGATTAGTTCCAAAGGCTTTGTAGTGCTTACCATTTTCTTCAATTTAAAAGATGAATGAACATGCTTGCCTTTCACACATGCATCACAAACTTTGTTCTGTAGGAACTTGATAATAGGAAGTCCCACAGCCAAGTTCCTCGACCTCAGTTTGTCTAGTAATGAAAAGCTAGCATGTCCAAAACGTTTATGCTATAACAGGGGATCATCTTCAATAACACTCAAACAAGTAAGGTTGTTCCTTAGGATTAAGTTGAGGTCAACTGTATAAGTGTTCCCTCTTCTTGTTCCTTCTAGAACAACCTTTCCTGACTTGTTGTTGATGATGTTGCAAGAGTCATAAGTAAAACTTACATAGTTTCCTTTATCACAGAATTGTGATATACTGAGTAAATTGTGCATTAGGCCCTCGACCAGGAACACATTATCAATGGAATGAGATTTAGATCTTCCAATTTTGCATTTTCCAATGATCTCGCCCTTCTTATTATCCCCAAAGGTTACTGTTCCTCCAGGGTAGTCTTCTAGTGAGAGGAATTTTGATTTATCACCTGTCATATGCTTTGAACAACCGTTGTCGAGATACCACGAGTTGTTCCCCCTCACTAGGACCTACAAGAAAACTAAGCATTAGGATTAGGAACTTAGCTTTCCTTGGGTTCCTTAGACGTGGATGCAATATTAGTTTTCTTGACCCACACTTGTTTTTACATTTCTTTTATCAGCTTCTTCTCTTATCCTACAATATCCATAGAGATGTCCAGTCTTACCACAAAAAGTGCATACCTTCATGCTAGGAAGCTCAACATATTTCTTTTGCTTACCTTTCCTCTTGGTCATATAACCAAGGCCTTCAGTTCTTTTTCCTTGAGCTTCAGCTATCCACTCAGGTATGACTTTTGGGTCAATACTTCTATCCTTTCTAGCATTCAGTTCTGATTCAAGTTGATCCTTTTGGGTTTTTAAAGTAGAAAGCTCATTTTTCAAATTTTCAGAATCAACATTGAATTTAAGCAACTGATCTCTTGAGGAACTGCTAGAACTGATATAAGAATTTATGAGCTTATACTGAGTTAGTTCAACACTCAGAAGAATACTTTCATGTTTAATTATATCAACTATCTCAGTTATGTGTTTTGTATTTAAAATCAAGTTCTCTTAGTTTGCTTTAAAGACTTGGCATAAGCTGTTTCCAACCAAGCACCATGTTCTTTGCAAACCTTAAGAGGTTTTTCACATTTATTCAACTTCACACATGTATCTCTAAAGAATTCTTTCTTTTTTCTAGACATATATCTATCAAGACATCTTTAGAGAGAGTTTTAAGCTGTTTAGGATCAAGAAATACCTCTTTCTAGAGTTCCTCAAGGTAAGCCTTTTCATCATCTGATTTGGCCATCAAACAAAGATTGGCCGTCTCCTGTTCTGGTTGGTCATCATCTTCTTCTTCACTTTCTGAGTCTCCCAGGCTGTTATCATTGGCTTCCTTATGTCTGACTTTGATAGAGTGCTTTGCTGAATTTTTCTCTTCCCTGTTCCTTAGCCTTTCCTTTCCCTTTATCATTTTCCCAAAGGGGACAGTCTCTGATAAAGTGATCTGGGGATCCACACTTGTGGAAGCTGTAGTTAGGCTTTGGATTTGAGGTCTTTTTCCCGAAGTTCCTTAAGGTTCGGCCTTTCTTGAACATCCTTTAGAATCTTCGCACAATTAGGGCAGCCTCATCCTCGTCCACTTTTGAGTCCTCCTCCTCATCAGCCTTAAGAGCCAGTCCCTTAATCCTCGTGGGTTCATTATTGAATCCAAGGTGTAGCTCATGAGTCATGAGAGAACCTGCTAGTTGTTCAATATTGAAATTTTTAAAGACCTTCGTTTCCTGAAGGGCTGTCACCTTAGCTCTCCATCTCTCATCTTGTGGAAGACTTCTAAGAACCTTCCTAACTTGCTTATCTGTAGGAATCTGTCTACCAAGGGAAACCAACTCATTTATGATGTTAGTAAAGCGTGTTAACATCTTGAATAGTTTATTTAGGCTGCATTTCAAATCTTTCATACTTAGACATAAGTAGATGGATTTTTTAGCGTTTAACTTCATTAGTTCCTTCATGAGTAATCTGCAGCAAATCCCAGATTTCCTTAGCGTTCTTGCACCCCATAACACGATTGTGTTCGTGAGGTCCAAGTCCACAGTGGAGCAATTTCACAGCCATAACATTTATTTCCATTTTATCAAAGTCCTCTTTTTCATATTCAGACATATGCTTAGAGATTACCTCGTTCTGAGCGTTTGTTTTGGTGACTTCGAAATCACCAACCTCGATGACCCTCCAGACTTGGTAGTTCTTTGCCTTGATAAAGATTTCCATGCGGTTCTTCCAGTAATTATAGAACTTGACGTTGAACATAGGAGGCCTCTGAGTTGAGTATCCTTCCACGAGCTTTTCATGAGTATTCATTTTCTCCAAGACCTTTCTTGTTCAGGGTTTCCTGATTTTCCTAGAAAGGCTCTGATACCAATTGTTGTTTTAAAGAATACTACAAGAAGGGGGGGTTGAATTGTAGTATGTGAATTTAGCCTAAAATTTTGTGGAATTAAAATTAAGTTAGCCGAAGGAACTGAAAGATTAACTAAAGGAACTAAAGAATGCAAGAGAGATTTTACGTGGAAAACTCCTTGGCCCTAACAAGGAGAAAAACGACGACCACTTGGGATTTTGGGAAAAGAATCTTCACTATAATAGGGAAAATGATCCTATTACAAGCTAACAACTCAAACTCAAGTTCCTCTACGAACTTTTAGACCCTGAGGAACAAGTCACCAAACTTGTTACTCTTCTCTTCTCTTTCTCTCTTCTCACTTCTCTGTTCTCTCTTCTCTTTCTCTTCTCTATCTCACTTCTCTTTCTCATACACAAACGTTCACTCGAACTTCCCCATTCCCCAAAACAAACTCTAGTATAAGAACATTAAGAACACTCTAATGAACTTGTGTTGAATTGACACTTGACTCGATTTGAAGCTTGAAAACTTATGTGAGCAAAGGTGAGTTTTTCCATCAGATTTCAAAGACTATTTATAGAGCAATAAACATATTGGAAAAACCTCTTTGTGCAGCAAATCCATCACGCCACTACTCACACCCACTAAGAAGATCATATCCCTTGAATTAAGGAACCATGAACTCCTCAATGTGCAAAACCATGACTGAAGAAGAACATGGGAGAGTAGGCTGCAAGTTTTGAGAAACATGGAGATTTTATTTTTTGTAAAATCAGAAATAAAAATAAAATCCTCTTTCTTGGTTAAAAAGATAATCGTTTAGAAAATAACAACTTCTTTAAAAATTAGCTAGCACAAAATTATCTTTTTAGACCAATTCCACACAGTATTTCGAATGCAACTTAATATCTTATACTTACATAAATCCTAAAATATATAAATATATTTAGTCTTCATGTTCTCTGATGAAGCTTTGACTCCGAGGCTTCTGTTCCTTGGGAGAAACTTCTCTTCTCTGATGAGGTTTCTTCTTTGAAACTGTTCCCTGAGGGAACCTTCTCTTCACCAATCTTCATTTCTGAAGCGCCAGTTCCTGTGAAGGAACTCTTCTATATGCATAGCTCTGCTTCTAG